TAAATTATATATACTAATATATTTTGTTATTATTGTTATTATTATTATTGTTATGATAATTATAATAGTAATGATAACATTACGATATAGCGTGGTCAATAATATATTATAAAAGGAATAAAATTAATACATATCACCAATATCATTTTCATGTATCTGATCATCATTATAGATATTATCATTATTATTGATAGTGTGTGTTATTGTAACAAAACAACTTACGAAAATAAAATAATGACAGCAGAAGCAACAACAAAAATAACAACTATATTAGCAACGAAGAGCGACGATATCTTAATGTCGAATTGTGTCTTCTTCTCTTTACAAAAATACAAAAACTTGGAATAGGAAAACCGAAAACTGAACATCTTACCAGGCAGATCCATCCTGCACCATGTCGCCTTCAGCTCGTGAACACATAGCTCCGTGATTACGTCACGACCTACGTCTTGGAACGACTTACTTTGTTCTTATCTCTGGTGTTACAAAATCTGCCACAAGCTATTGAGGTGACCGAGGGTGAACCGATACCTTATTCCCAGTGCCCATGAGCACGATCGGTTCTGTTCGTTTTGGTAGGCGGGGCTATCCCATAGATATAAACCACTACTTTCTATTCAGCGCTAGCCAGATTGAGGGCGCAAAGCGACGGTCGTGGCACAAACCGATCACCCGACTACCAGCCTCCAAAAACAGACGCGTTTGGGGTTTTTTTCAGGCTGTGAATCGGGCGATCGGTTGTCGATCGGTTGTCGATCGGTTGTCGATCGGTTTGTCGATCCCCCAATGGACACTAGGTATTAGATGTTGGTATGTCGTTTGGTGGTGAGAGTGGGTTCGAATCTCTTCCCATGTTTTTGAAGAACGAAATAGTGTGCGGTGATTTTATGACTTTTAGAGCTGTCTAGCTGGTTAGGACTGTTTGGTTTGGGGCAGGCAGAAGCGGTGGTTAGGAGGGTGAGAAATGGAGCAAGAGTGGGAGAGTGAGACGATGAGGAAGAAAAACAGAGTAATAAAGAAAGGGTGTGGGAACGAGAGTGAGGGTGGGAGGGAGGGGGGAAGGGGGGTGCGAAAAGGAGCTTGCGAGGAGCACATATAAAATAAAGGAAAACTCTTTTTCTCTCTCTCTCTCTCTCTCTCTCTTTCTCTCTCTCTCTCTTTCTCTCTCTCTCTCCCCCCTCTCTCTATCTCCATCTGTAGCTATCTCTCTTTCTTTCGCCCTGTTTGTGTGTGTGTGTTTGTGTGTGTGTGTGTGTGTGTGTGTGTGTGTGTGTGTGTGAGAGAGAGAGAGAGAAAGAGAGAGAGAGAGAGATGGGGAGTATTCAGAGAGGAGAGACGGATTGAGAGATCGAAGCAGATAAATAGAAAGAAAAAATTACAGACCCCGTGGGGTGCACATCGAAAAATGATGCATGGGAAAATCACCTGAGCCAGGCGAAGCTTGGTTGTTTTTGTTAGGGATTTTGTGTGTGTGGGGGGGGGGGGGATGCTAGTTTTTTTTTTCTTTCATTCGGTGAAGGGGGGAGGCTTGCTTGGAGGAAATTGCTGCTGTTATTTTTTATGTCTTCCTTAAACAAACCAGTAACGTTGTTAGAGTCAAAAGATTCACTGCTGTGTTTGTGCAATTTTATTATATTTCCGTACTCTTGAGTAAGAGAAAAAGGACAAACACTTGCTTTCATGCAAATGAAGCATAAACGCTGAGATATGACCCATGCTGCCTGAGAAAACATACATTCATTCACACAGAAAGAAGCCAAGGTTGAAATTTTTAACACATTATATTATCATCATCGGTAGAGCAATTGTAGACGTAAGGAAGTTTTTCACGAAAAAAGAGACTAAACTCACGATATCTGACACTCGAAGTTGTGACTTTCCACAGAATATTCTCCAGTTCACAAAAGGGGGAACAAAATTTCTGTTGACCCCCTGAAGAGCAAGGGAAGTAATATCCGAAGCGAGACTAAAATGGCCTCGACATGTTTATTACCTCCCGTGACAATTTTATCGTTTTAGGATTGTAGCTTGATTTCTCGGTTATGAAAAAAAGAGTCCCGAAGAAGTGCCTAAGCGTTTCAGGGAAGGTCACATATTTTGCACCACACTTGCACCAATACGCTTGTGGAGCGCTGTGAGAACTGAATTTAGCCAAAGCCGCCTCTATTAATCTTGGTGTGGTAGTTGTTAATCCTCTTTTGGTCAGCAGAGGGTCAACGTTTAGAATTTGATCTCTTCTTAATCGTGGCAGCAGTTACGTCCATCCAAGTGGACAGAAGGGTAGGATAGCAGGGCCACTTGACGGAAAATAAGAAAGAAACACAGATGCCCTCATTTTGTTAAGATGTGTTCAGAACTTTAGGGGATGTTTCTATTGATGTCGATATCTCCGTGAAGGAACCTCTTCTATGTCAAAGTGAGGATTTTCGCTACAGTTGAGAAATCTTGAGTGTTGTATTTATGCAAATAGAAAAGTTTGGTTTTATTTCACACAACTGAAGAAAGCTAAAAAGGATGATTTAAATAAAAAAAACTATTAAACCGCGGCTGTGTTTTCTGTTGAAATCAAATGACTCTGTGTTTGTGTATAGTCAGGAGTTTTCATGATTTGTTGGGCTGTTTTTTTTTCGTGTGTTTTGTTTTGTTTCTTTGCTTGTGACATGCTAAATTATTATGTTGAAAGGATTGAAGATGATTTTCCTGATACAAATTAGATAATGTTAAAATGCGGCAGTGTCATAAACATTGAAAACTGTGTATCATTTCGAAATCGTCCAACGACAATGAATTCAGTCAACTATCGAAACTTCTGCTCAAATTGTGACTTTTTCTTACTTGAAATGAGAATAAGTAGTTCGCTTTCGTAAAGATTTATACAACATGTGCTCTAGATCTAGAACTCTAGTAAATATATGTGCAGTGTCTGAAATATTTCAAACAAATACGCTTTTATGAGTCCATTCGTTTTGCAGTGTGTCCGTCCGTAAATAATTATGATAAGTCGTCATCGCATTGTGCTTTGTAGCAAATAGAACCTTAACACTTAGAAGTGAAACTTTGGTCATTTGGTATCCAAATGTAAGAGGGCAGTCGATATTCAACATTGTTATGTACAATATACGTGTAGTAATAGCAGCAGCCCCATTTATTTTTTTTATTTTTTATTTATATATTTATTTTTTTAAATTTTTTTTTGGAGGGGTCTATCTAAGCCAAACAATCCCCACCAAAAAGGAGAGAAAAAATTGACCAAATGTATTTGTTTTCCAAGATAGTCTCATTCATGTGGACAAATTATAAATACAAGTGCCAAAGTCAGAAGTGAGCTTTAGCATCAAGGAAAAAACCGACTTGTTTTAATCATCATACATTACCAATAGAATAAACAACACTTTGTGGGTGGTTTGCTATTTCTTTCCTATCAAACATCTATCGTCCTTTTCTCTCCTCTTTCTTTTTTGTGCTTGCAACTCTCTTTAACACCTTTGATCTTCCACATTTATAATAATAATATGACCGTACTGTGTTGCAACAAGTGCAGTTAAAATCTTACTAAAACTAAACAAAACAACATTTTAACAGCGCTTCAATGGCCAAACACTGTCCCCTTATGCTTGGTCTACCGGTGGATTAACCCCTGTAAAGTGACTTGAAACGACTAACTATAAACGGGGATTTGAGTGTCAAAAGATAATCTGTGCGGGACTGAGTGATACACGCATCGTCCCAACGTAGAGAGAAAAACCTGAGAATGGGGAGATTGGTGCGGTTGTCGAAAGATGTTGTTGTCGCTTGTGGCTGGAGGCTGCTGTTGATGATGTTGTTGCTGGCGGTGGATAAAGAGAATGAAGGTGAGGAAATGATTACTAAGATGATTAATATAATTGTTATTGGTCTTATATTTATGTATGTGTGGAAATGATAACTGAGATGATTTAAAATAATTGTTGTTGGTCATATAAATGTATGTATGTGTATAATCTTTATATTGGGGTTTTGATGTCTCTGTCTGATTTGCTTTTTTTTTTTTATTCCTTTCTGTTTAATTACATTTTCTGTTTCTTTACCCATTCTAAAAAAAAAGGGAGGGGGGGGGTAAGAAGGAAAGGTGTGTATTTTTGGTTTGGTCATAATATGTGTGTTTGCCTTTATTGTCCCGTTCCTTTACTTCTCTTTGGCGAGGGGGTGACGAGTGTAGAATAGGACAGGCCCAGGAGTTTCACTCTCTTACTATCTCATATTATTGTCTCTCATTAGTTACCATTTGTGAGGCAGCGCTGTGGAATCAGGCTCTCGTCAAAATAATCAAAATGAAGAAACTTGCATTTTACCGCAGGTTTGTGAGTTTTTATCAAATTTTTGTTTTTTGAATCAACACCTTTTATGCCCATTAAAGAACTCATTTCTGTGTGGATTTTTCTTTTAAAAAACCCAAAAAAACGTTGATTTAAGGCACAGAAAATGTAAATCTTTAGTTACCACGGACTCTTAAGCTAAGGAAATAACTAACCTTTGGCAGCCATTTTCTCACTAATTTTACCTCTGAAAACAAATGTCCCCCACCTCCTTCTTTCGTAAATATCTCGACTTGTATTCAAGATAAATGGATACTTTTTTCGTCCAAATAAAGACAAGTGAACAAGCTTTAAGATGATACCAATAACTCTACAAGTCCAAAAATTTACGAGAGCCTGATTCCACAACGCTGCCTCACATTTTCTTTTCTCTCGTTTTACAACTCATAAAGGCTTTCATTGTATCAGTATTTCATGCCTGCATCCTATCCACCAACTGTTTATTCGTAATTTAAAAGTTTACCTATCAACACACACACACACACACACACACACACACACACACACACACACACACACACACACACACACACACACACACACACACACACACACATCACGAACGCTTAACACCGGACGAAAGCTGCAAGTCAGTACGTAAGTGTTCATGCATATGCTTATGAAGAGTAAAGGGCAAATTGCCACTACTCACTATCTGAAAAACTTTGCCTTAGCCTATTCCAATGTATTGCTTGGCTTGTTCCATTCTAACCATCTATACCAGTGTTATTAGAAACGACTGTAGTCACATACTTGTGACATATTTACAACGGTAGAGAATGAAAAAAATGAGAGTAGTCCATACGAATATGAAAAGCAGGTAGTAATCTTCAATATTTTTTGTGTGATTTATGCAATCCCCCCCCCCCCACCAAGAGATCTTTGTATGTATGTGACTGTGCGTGTATTGTAGATGGATCCATGGATGGATGGACGGATGGATAGACGGATGGATGGGTGGATGGATTGATGGTTAGATGCATAGATGGATGGATGGACGGATGGATGGATGGATGGATGGATAGATGGATGGATGGATGGATGGATGGATTGATGGATGGATGGATGGATGGATGGATGGGTGGATGGATGGATAGAGGGCTGTATACGAGAACTTGTGTATGTGTGTGTGTTTTTATGTGCGCGCGCGTGTGTGTGTGTGTGTGTGTGTGTGTGTGTGTGTG